CCAATTAACCACCAAAAAGCTGAAGGTGGAAGTGTGGTTCAAGTGGTAGAGTGCTAGCCTTGAGCGAAAAGGCTAAGTGAGAATGTAAAACCCTGAGTTCAAGCATGCACAAAAAAACGAGAGAGGGGAAAAGCACCTGGCTAGGCAGTTTAGACAAAAAAGATAAAATAAATAGACCCTCTGTACAGCATCTTTACAATAAAATAAAATTTAAAAATAAATGGAAAACTGTTCCACAACACTTGTAATTAAAGGATAGACATTAAGTTAAAGGATAAGATACAATTTTCACCTATCAGATTGGCAGAAATGAGAACATTTAATATGTATTAATTAGTAAGAATATGGAGTAATGTGAACTGTGAGACCTTGCTACTCAAAGTGTGCCAGCAGCATCTGCACCAAGTGAGAGCTTTTTAGAAATGCTGTTCCACCTCAGATCCATGAGATCCCTAGGTAATTTACAGGCCTATGAATGTTCCAAAGTACTGCTGTGAGGTTTGTGGAAGTGCAAATTACTATTACCTCTTCAGATTTTAGACTTTCTCAGGTTAAATGTTTATGTTTACATGCCTTTTTTTTTTTTGTCAGTTGTGGGGTCTCAACTCTGGGCCTGGGTGCTGTCCCTCTTCAGCTCAAGACTAGTGCTCCACCACTTGAGCCACAGCACCACTTCCAGGTTTTTCTGCTTATGTGATGCTGAGGAATTGAACCCAGGGCCTCATGCATACAAGGCAAGCACTCTATCATGGAGCCACCTTCCCAGCCCTGTTTACATACCTTTTGATGCAGTATTCCACTTGGAAAGCTTTCAAAGATATAATGAAATTTACATGTGAAGACATGTACAAAGACACTCATGCATTCATTGTTTGTATTAACAAAATTTTAGAAATATCAATATTCATTATTTGGATGGTAAAGTTTCAATAAGCTAGAAAATTTTTCACACGGTGAGGCAGAATCAGGTAGCTCAGACCTATAATCCTAGCTATTTAGGAGACTGAGACCTGGAGGATTGTGATTTGAAGGCAGCCTGGACAGAAATGTCCTCCAGTCCTTCTCCAATTAATCAGTAAAAGTGCTATGCTCGAGGCATTGTTCAAGTGGTAGAGCACCAGCACTGAGCAGGAAAGCCTAATAAGGACACTGAGTTCAGGCCCCAGCATCAGATCCATTATCTTCCCTTTCTATCTTTCTATTTGTACCTGTCGAGAGGCAGGTTATATTATAAACACAGAAGGTCCAACCTGTTGTCTACCATAATGATGAATTCAGATTTTTCCTATAGACACTAGGAAGCTATTGAAGGAGTTTAAGCAGGTTTGTATTTTGGATAAATGCATCTTTTAGCATTTTTCAGGGATTAAAAAAGACAGGTGGGCTGGGTGCTGGTAGCTCACACCTATAACTCTAGCTACTCAGGAGGCTGAGATCTGAGGATTGTGGTTCAAAGCCAGCCCAGGCAGGAAAGTCCATGAGACTCTTACCTCCAGTAAACCAACAGAAAACCTGAAGTGGCACTGTGGATCAAAGTGATAGAATGCTAGCTAGACTTGAGAGAAAAAGCTGAGGAACAGCACCCACGCCCTGAGTTCAAGTCCCATGACCAACAAAAAAATAAGAAGAAAAATTTAAAAAGACAGGTGGAATAGTTAAGAAGTGAATTTAGTAAGTAGTTCCAGTGATCTGTGCTTCAGGGATGAATGAAAGGGAATATTTGGGAATGGTCCAGTCTAGAAAATAAAGCCAGTAAGTGCTGGTTTCTGGTTTATAAGATGTGAGGAGTAAAGAAGTGCCCAGTATATCTCCCAGACTTGTTGCCTTAGTGAATAATTCATTTTCTTGCCAGCATCAAAAGAGAAATCAGTTCATTTTTGGACAAGCCAATCTTTATTTCTTATTTTTTAAAGCAGTGCTTATTTCCGAGGAGGCACTCTATATTCAAATACTACCAAGGCAGTGTATATAAAGAAAAGGTCCCCCTTCCCCCAAGAGGAAACTTACTGGCAACATAACCAAACGGTATGTTATTTTTCCATCTGGGAAGCATAGACACCCCTTCTTCCACCTCCTTAACTTTCCACCCAGCTGTCTCACTTCCTTACTGTAAGTGTAGTTCAACATATATAAACCCAAACGTGATCCGCTACATTAGCAAAAAGGATATTATATGTTCATCTCAATAAATGTAGAAATGTGTTTCATGAAGTTAAAAATGCTTTCATGATATTAAAAATACCTTCCCTAACAAAAAGGCATCAAAGAAGTGTACATTATCATAATAAAAAGTATATATGAAGCTAAGCACCAGTGGCTCACACCCATAATCCTAGTTGGACAGGACGCTGATATCTAAGAATTGAGGTTCCAAGCCAGCCGACAAATCCTTGAGACTCCAATTAACTAACAAAAAGATATAAGTGGAACCGTGGCTCAAGTGGCAAAGCACTAGTTTTGAGTGGAAAAAGCTGAGCAAGTGTGTAAGGCTCAGTGTTCAAATCCCAGTACACACACACACACACACACACACACACACACACACACACACACACACACACACACACACGAGAAGTGCAGCATCATATGGAATGATAGAAACTTGGAAAAAAATATTTTTTTTCGGTCATGGGGCTTGAACTCTGGGCCTGGGCACTATCCCTCAGCTCAAGGCTAGCACTCTACCACTTGAGCCACAGCACCACCTCCGGCTTTTTCTGCTTATGTGGTGGTGAGGAATGGAAACCAGGGCCTCATGCATGCGAGGCAAGCACTCTACCACTGAGCCACCTTCCCAGCCCCTTGAAATACTTTTCTCTAAAATAAGAAACAAGGATGTTTACTCCTATCACTTCTAGTTAGTATAGGAGTAGAAGTCCTAACCAGAGCATTTAGGTAAGAGGAAATAAAGCCATCAAATTAGAAAGGAAAAGTTAAATTGGATTTGCAATGGTATGATCTTAAATATTAAAACCTAAAACTCTACACAAAAGCTGTCAGAAATAGCAAATAAATTCAGTAACATTGTAGTATGTAATAAAATCAGCTTTCAAAAATCAATAGTATTTCTCTATGCTAACAAGAAATTGTCTAAGAATGTTTTTAAAAAATCCTATTTACAACTGAAACAAAATCAATTTATATTTCATAATAAATGAAACACAAAAACTACACTGAAAAATGTAAGTCATTGATGAAAGAAATTTTAGATAGCTTGGAAGGAGTTATTTGGATATCTTTTCTAAAGTGTTTGTTAGAATGTTGGTTCTCAATGTTCAATGTGGTGGCTTTTGCCCAGACTTTCTAACTCAGAAGGTATGAGGTGGGACCTCAGAATTTAATTTCTGATACATTCCCAAGGGATGCAGTTGCTGGTGTCCAGAACAAATTCTGAGAACAATGTTTAAGTGGAAAAAAAACCACAGGAATTTGAAATAAGAAATTTATATTCAAGTTGTACATGATTTACTTCAGCCTGTATAAGCTATTTGTTTCTAATGTGGATTTGTTAATTGTTGTGATGATTAAATCAAATGATGTCTTTATAAACTACAAATATCACATAAAAACGTTAGCAGTTAAATGGCTTCAAAAATGGTACTTACTGCCACCTCCCACCAGATTTTCCTGTGTTTTGTTCTCTCTCCATCCAAATGTGTCCAGAAGGTTCTGAGTAGCATTTTTCAACCCATTGGCTCTGCCCTGGATACTGACCTTGACATGACCTCCCATTTCCTTTGCTAGTTTTTCCCTAAAACTTTCTCCTTAGGTTCCAGACTTAGTTTGCTGTCACAGCAAAGAACTGTGCTCACTGCTAAAACTGGGAGAAAATTGTGAATGGGGCAGAGTATAACTTAGAGGTAGAGCAAATGTTTTACATGTACCTTGAGTTTGAGCCCCAGCACTACAAAACAAAAGCCATCTGTCACACAGCATTTTTCTTTAATTAGTGACATTCCCTCCCAAACAACAGAACAGTACTGGGAAAAGCATTTTTCGAGGTTGGTGAGTTCTGGGCTGATTTCCCTGAGGGCAGAATCCAGATGCTTACGTTAGTTAAATAGAATCATAGAGACAACTACAGATTCCTAATAAGAAGGTGTCAAGCAGTTGAATCATACATTGTCTGGGTAAAAGATGCATTTATGAAGAACAGTGACATTTTCTGTGAAACCTCTTCTTATTCAAAAATTAATGCATGTGTGAAGTAGAAAATTCAGAAAAACGTAAAAAGGCAAAAAAAATCCTTAATTCTATAATACAGATATTTAAATAACTCACTGATAAGATATATTCATACATTTGCATCCAGTCTTTTAATTTGTATTCACTTGTATATGAATATGTATGCATACATAATTTTTTGTGCCAGTACTGGGGCTTGATATCAGGGCCTGGGTGTTATTCCTTAGCATTTTCTGCTCAAGACTGGTGCTCTGTAACTCGAGCTACAGCTCCACTTGTGGCTTTTTGCTGGTAGGTTGGAGACAAGAGTCTCACGGACTTTTCTGCTTGGGTTGGCTTTGATCTCAGATCCCAGCCTCTTGAGTAGCTGGGATCATAGGAGTGAGCCCCCAGTACCCAGCTTGCTTATATAGTTTTGAATTGGGCTGGTGCTATGTTCAAGTTTTTAAATTATTTTTCACTCACCTTTTCCAGAATCAGTAAATAATTTTTGGAAACATGGTTTTTAATGGCAGACTTTTATTCCTTCATACTTCACCCAAGCCTTCCAAATGTTGGACAGCTAGGACATTACTAATTTTACCATTATAAATAGCTCTGCAGTGGATGTCAGCTTCATGTACATAAATCAATATATGCATCTCTACTTGCCTTTTAGTATAAAATCCTAGTAGTTTGAAAAGAGTAAATCAAAGGGTAAGAACATTTGTTTAAGTAGATCGTTTGCATACTATAAAATACACTACTTCAAATATGCAATTCAGTGGTTTGTACTATATCCACAAGGTCATGAGACCACTAGCATTAATTCTAGAGGAAATCAGGAATGTCTCATTTATTTGCAAGTCACCCTTGTGCAGAAGCCATGCTAATTTTCCCTGTAGCATTCTAGTTTTAGTATATGGCATCTAGGATCCTGAACAAAAAGAACAATGTCAGTCTCCTAATGACACACTTTGAAATGACCTCTGTTATGGGTGTATTCACTTTCTTTCCCACCTAGGAATTATATAAGAATACCTATTTCTCTACAGCCTGCCTGACATTTATTATTGTTTTAACTGTGTTGTAATCCTAGCTACTGAGGAGGATTGTGGTTTAAAGCTAGGTTGAGCAGAAAGCTCTGTGAGATTCTTATCTTCAGTTAACCAGCAAAAAGCTAGCCTGGAGACGTGGCTCAAGTGGTAGAGTGCTAGCTTTGAGCAAGAAAGCCAGGTGAGAGTGCAAGGCCCTTAGGTCAAGCACCAGTACACACACACACACACACACACACACACACACACACACACACACACACACACACACACCATGCACATGCATGCGCGCATGTGCAAAAATTGCACCAATGTTGTTGAAAATTTTGTTTTATTGTTTAATATTTTTTCTTTCTTTCCTGAAGGATAGCTGTTCTGTAAATATGTCATCAGTCCTCTTTCCCTTGCAAACTTTTGCTGTGAACATTCACATGCACTAGAACAGTCACAACTGTCTCCTCTTGGTAATGGCCACATGCTGGTATCTTGTCCACAACCTGCCCTGCTGCTCACTGGGCATCCCTAGCTACAGAATTTTCCAACATAATGAACTCATGATCCAAATCAAAATGCCATCTCCCGAAGCTCACTCCTTCTCCCAACTTCCTTGCCTAGTTAGGGATGTCACCATTCTCCTAGGTGTTTTGCAGCCATCTTTTACCTTGTCTTCATTTCTAATTAATAGTCCAACCCTGTTGATCATTTTTCCCACCTTGCCTTCGCAATGCAAAGAGCGTATTGTTCTAGTTTGACATTTTTTGTAATACAAGACTTTGAACTCAGGGTCTTATAGTTGCTAGTCAGGCACACTACTACTTGAGGCATGCCCCAGCCCTTTTGCTTTGGTTATTTTATGAATAAGGTCTGGTGATTTTTTTCTACCTGGCTTAAACCAAATTCTTGCTTATGCTTCATGTGCAAGTGATGACAGGTATAAACCACTATGATTAGCTTGTTGGTTGACACAGGGTCTTACTTTTTGTTCAAGGTGGTCTTAAACCATAATCTTCCCTGATCTCCACCTCTAGAGTAGTGGGGACACTGGCATGAGCTCCTGTGCCTAGCTTAATTTGATTTTTTAATTTTTATTAGCCTGCACACTTTTCTATGTGTTTCTTGTAGTAGTATTTATCTACATAATGTATACTATGCATGGCTATGACAGTACCCATTCTGCAACACTTCCTGTATTATATTACTCTCCTATACTAGACTCTCCAAGGCTTCTTGCCTGTGGGATTATGGAAAACCAGTGCTTTCATGTGACACTCAAGGGCCCCATGCTCTTGCATCATTCTAGTTTGTCTTCCTGTGTACTTTGTAGAAACGGCGTGTTCTTTTTGTTGTGTATCCCTGCCTTTCCCACTTTGTGTAAGCCTGGCAAGACCTCTCTCAGTTTAAAAGGTACCAAGACTTCCAAAATTCAACCAGGTACACATTCTCCTTTAACCCCTCTTTGGTTAGCATTTCTGATACTTCTGCTTTTCAATGGTTTGGTAGTTATCCAAGCCTTCCCCAACCCCTCCATTTTTATGTTATAAATTCCTTGAACACAGAGATTTTTGTCATCTTCGTTCCTACAACATCTTTCCATGCAAATCGAAGCACCTTAAATGCTTGGATAAAAGAATGATAATGACTGCCAACTTCTTGTTTTTAAGCTATAATGACTCAGTTTCAGGAATGAAGTGTGCTAAGAAGGCACAGGTGCCAGATGACCCAAGTGTCATAGCTTATTCTTTCTCCCTCACTTTCCACATTCAATCTGTCAACAAATACTGTCAGCTCTCTTTCTCACTCACTCTTCATAATATCTCTAATTAAACCTTTTTTGCCTACACTTACTTCTACATCCCCAGAACAACCTGCCATTCTTTCTTACCTTCAAAAGCCTTTGAATATATTCCCCAGGTTCTACTGTTCCCCCCTCCCTAAATCTGTCAGCTAAGTGAGATCTTTGTAAAATGTAGATAATCTTCATCTTTTGCTTGCCAACCTCTGACAATTTCCTATTTCCCTGAGAATAAAATTCAAACCACTTGCCTTGGTCTTAGCAAACTCCATGGTCTAGCCTATTCACCTCCCACCTGTCTCATCTCCACTAATGTCCATCTTATTTACAAACTTCCAAGCACTGGTTATTTGCTAGGGTTCAGTGTATATAGTAGCAAAAGTAGTTCTAATCATTTTGAGAGTTAAGTCTGAGTAATCCCTTTGTGGATTCCAGCAGATGCATCAAAAGGGCTGTGCTCAATACTGGGTACAAACTAAAGGAGACAATGGGCTTAAAGAAAGAAGAAAGGAAAGCTTATATTGTTCTCACTGCCTTCATCCCAAAGGAGACCATAAATATGACTGATAGAAATCAGAGTTGGAGGACAAACAGCCTCCACCTTCCTTATCACTCTGGGTGTTGGTCCGGGAAATTGGGCATCCTGGCAAAAGCTATAAAGGTCATCTGTTGAGTCAAATAGTGTTCTGTGTACAATTATCTCTCTGTGTGCCTCTGAAGCTTCCCTCAGCCCTTCTATGTCACACCCTTAGCTTTGGAGCACAGAGGAAGAAAAAAAGGGATAAAAATCTTTTCATATTCAGATTTTTGACTTGCCCTTTTTCCTACAAATTTGGCACCATCCACCTCCTTGCCTTTGGGATCACTGGCTAACACCAGTCTATAATGGATATATATTATCAGACTAAATGTAGAAAAAATACAAATTTCTCTCTGGCTTACCTGAGAATTATGACTACTGCATTCCTAAACTACTACTCATTCTCATGGCTCCTGAAACTCATACAACTCTTCTAAGACATTTGGATGGTTATATATTTTCAAACTTCTTTGGAAAAACATCTATCCTGTGTTTTAAAGATCTTACTGGCCAGGCATGGTGACTCATACCTATAATCTCAGTTACACAGGAGGAAGAGATCCAAAGGACTATGATTTGAAGCCAGCCCAGCCCCATCTCAACAAATAAGCCACTTGTGGATGTGCATGCTTTTTCACTCTAGCGATGTGGGAGGCATAGTTAAGAGGATTGTGGTCCAAAGCTGTCCCAGGCAAAAAAGCATGAGACCCTATCTGACTAATAACTGAACACAAAAGGCTTGAGGCATGGCTTAAGTGGTACTGTGCTGCCTAGTAAGCGCAAAGCCATGAGTACAAACCCCAGTACCACCCCCCCTCCCAAATTAGAAAGAATTAAAAAAATAAAGATCTAATATAGAGTAATAAAAACAGAATCTCAGGGCTGGGAAGGTGGCTGAGTGGTAGAGTGCTTGCCTCGCATGCATGAGGCCCTGGGTTTGATCCCTTTCTTTCTTCCTTCCTTCTACATAAGCAGAAAAGGCTGGAAGTGGTGCTGTGGCTCAAGTGGTAGAGCACTAGCCATGAGCTCAGAGACAGTACCCAGGCCCTGAGTTTGAAGCCCCAAGACTGGGAAAGAAAGAAAGAAAGAAAGAAAGAAAGAAAGAAAGAAAGAAAGAAAGAAAGAAAGAAAGAAAGAAAGAAAGAAAGAAAGAAAGAAAGAAAGAAAGAAAGAAAGAAAGAAAGAAGGAAAGGAAGGAAGGAAGGAAGGAAGGAAAAAGGAAGGAAGGAAGGGGAGGAGGGGGAGGGAAGGAAGGGAAAGGAAGGAAGGAAGGAAGGAAGGAAAGAAGAAACAAGAAGGTCAAATGCAAAGGGGCATTGGGGGGAGGGAAAGTGGGAGAAAAACTAGGGAGAGAGTAACAATGTTTGACAAGAAATGCACTCACTACCTTTCGTATGTAACTGTAACCCCTCTGTACATCACCTCAACAATAAAACTAAATTTAAAAAGAAATGCAATGGCCCCAATCAGAGGAATTTATTGTTCTCTACTTTGAAAGCCTCCTGATGAACACACTGCTACATTTGGAAGGTCTTTATTTTATCCTCATTCCTTTCCCTTCTTATTTCCTAGCTTAGGTTTCTTTATAGCCAGAAATGGATCCTAAAGTGGAAGACAGGAATCGACTGTGGATGAACTAGACATAGCTATTTAGAGGGGAAGCGAGAAGTATAGAGTTGGGGAGGCAGAACGGGGTACCAAAAGATGCTTCTCCAAAATGTATCTGTCTTTTGGATAACCTGCCATTGTCCTGAAAGTTCTCTTTAAAATAATCCCTACTCCCAATCACACCACTCTTTGGCTGGGTCTATAATAAAGGAGGGTCTCTAGATTATCAGAGTTAACTATCCCAGCCAGCAGTGGGGTGTGGGCAGGCAGTCAGAGCTCTGTATCCCTCCATGGTGACCAAGCAGCTTTTCTTCTCCTGTCAGATAAACAAGCCATGCATTGTTCTGCTTGTCTACAGCCTTCTCTTCCTGCCTAGCAGTCAGAATGCTCTTGGACTCCTTCATGTGGGGCAGGTGGAATGTGCTGATTGGGAGGAGGCTGAAAGAGTCACAGAAAGCAAACAGCTAATCAAGGGTTCTCTTTTGTGCTTCTCCTTAGCCAAACACATACAAAGAAGGAAAGGGCCCACATCATATTATGGCTCAGACCTGAGGCTAAGCACAACCCCCAAGCAACAGCAGTCACATTTCCTTCTTTCCCTGATTTGGGCAGAGCCACTCTTCTTTTCCTGGTTCTCTTCTCTCATCAAGTATCTTTTAAGAAATTTATTAGGAGCCATTCCCAAAGACAAATGGTGCTGTCAGAAGGTATTGGGATGGACAGTCAACTAGCACAACTGAGAGTGACTCCTTCCAGAATTGTTTCCCCCGTTTCTCCTTACCTCTCACAATAGTCTTTCTTGTGTGGTACTGGGACTTGAACTTGGGGAGGGCTTTGAACTCTTGATTGGTTCTGCCACTACACTTCTACTTTGGGATATTTTCTGGTTAATTAGAGATAAATG